ATATCAGTAATTAACCTGTCAACTGGTGAAATAGGACCAGCAAAACTAGTGAGAGTTGAGAAAAGTTGGACTGTTGAAGAATTAAAACAACATATAGGAGAAGTAATTATGTAATATACATGTATTGTTATTATATTGTTTGCCTTAATTCCCTCCCTCATGGCATGCAGTACAGCCCATTGTATGGTTCTCTCTATAAATGGATTCATATTTATTCATAATTAATATCATTTACTGGTTTGTAGTATTCCTTGCCAGTAGCTTAATTCCCCACGTTTCAATATCAATGGAGTTAATGTTGCATTAGTAAGTTCTGCAAATTTCTTAGTAACAGCTTTAAAATAATAAATAAATCAACAGTGTATTACAGAACTTACAGCAATCTGTGAATCTTGTAGGATCTTTTGTGATAGTGTAAAGTAAATTATGAGGCATAATTATAATCTATTAGTATAGTAGTCAGTATCTTACCATTGTAGAAATTGTTAGTAGATCCAGTCAATGTAGATACTGCTAGTACAACTGATAGAGTCATCAATAGAGCGCTCATCTTCTTGCTTAATAGTGTTTTTGCTGTTACGTGTGAAAGTAATATTATTATTGAGTTCTGTTTATTAAAATGTATCCGAGTATTGTGTACTTTTAATGTTTACTTTTATTTAAGCTAACTAAAACTACCCATATAGAAATTCCAAGGTTGTTACAACTGGGTCACAACCTTGCAAAGTTGTAGCCACCTAGTAACAACCTTGTATAAAAGTGATAAAGTTGTGAGCAACCTAGTGACAACCTTGTAGGAAAGTGATAAAGTTGTGACTAACATGTAAGAAAAATAACAACCTTGTGACAAGGTTGTCTGAAGGTTGACAGGAAACTGGGGTTTCATTAAGTGTGCCCCACGATGATATGAAGCTATTGCTACCATATATAAAGGGACCATTGACCAGCATTTATACAAGTCAATAAAGATAACACTAATACACATCCACATTTTTATACATTAGCTACATGTATCATAGATACATTACAAGTATCTAGAAATCATTTGAAACTATATGGGATTAAGATGTCAATAATAATAATGTGTTGATAGTCTTTAAGATTATAGTTATTCTATTAAATTCATTGTACATTGTGAGAAGGTTGTGACAAGGTTGTGACAAGCCAAAAAACGTGTCAAATCCAAGGTTTTTACAAGGGTAGTGACCGGGTAGTGACAACCTATTGACAACCAACTTGTTACAAGATTGCCACAATCATGCTACAACCTTGGTTTTTCTATATGGGTATATTGTCCATCCAGTGTAGAATATATTATGCTTTTTGTTGTATTTTGATTTATAGTAATGTCTTGGAATGTGTGGATAACTTCAGAAGAGTCTTAATTTGAACTGTGGTTAATAATTAGAATCGCTCTATTTTTTATATTATTTGATATTTGCAAATAACCCTACTTTATTTCACACACTGTATAATAACTATTACGTTATGATTTGTTATTTTTCAATATTAAATTCTGCCATTGCACAAAATATTTCATTGTTATTCTCATCATAAGCGATGACTTTAATGCAATACTTGCCCTATGAATCAGAATAATTATTTTAAATAATATATTAATACTGACTGGCCAGAGGAGTAGTAGTGATGGAATTGTGCTATTATATAATCCATGA